TAGTACAACGAAGCTGGAGCATGAAGCTCGAAGGTCAAGGTCGCGCCCAGTCTACATACATAACACTTGTTTTGTGCAAAATTGTGTACATATTTCCACTTTTGGCCATTCTACGTACATATTCCAGGTGCGGCCTCTTAAAGATTATAATCAGGGAGTCGTACTCAAACTAGGGAGGTGACACGGCACAGAAATCCGTGTCACAGGGGTTGACTCGCACCCGTGACCCCTCGTTGTTATTTTTGGAATAGTTCAGTCCAGTCCAGTCCGAAAGGTCATACTCGGATCGACTCGCCTTCTGTACTTCACCTCCAAGCGTGCAGCATGGGTGTCTAGTTTTTGAAATTATTGAGGCAGCACATTTCGTTTACAGCCCATCACTCGCCAGTATTCTTTGAAAGACTACCAGCAATTTGTTTACCTCCTGCCATGTCCGAACTACTTGATAGCAGTGATGGCAACAGCAGCAGTTATGAGACAGCGTGTAGTGTTACGGTAACTGTTCAGAACTGTTCAGAGTCGTATCCTAGGTTAATCCGAATACTAAAAATTGACCCAAATTGCACATAACACGAAGCTGGTTTTTGAAAATTGTAAGTCGTGTATCTGCCCCATTTCTTCTTTATGACTTGCACAATACACCAGTCTTCCTAAATAACACATTTATAGCAGGGGTTAAGTACCATATAAGAGAAGTACAGCCAGTGATATTGTCATGTTGAAATACTACAATTTTGACACAAATTACACATAACACGAAGCTGGTTTTTGAAAATTGTAAGTCGTGTATCTGCCCCATTTCTTCTTTATGACTTGCACAATACACCAGTCTTCCTAAACAACACATTTCTAGCAGGGGTTAAGTACCATATAAGAGAAGTACAGCCAGTGATATTGTCATGTCTAAATACTACAATTTTGACACAAATTACACATAACACGAAGCTGGTTTTTGAAAATTGTAAGTCGTGTATCTGCCCCATTTCTTCTTTATGACTTGCACAATACACCAGTCTTCCTAAATAACACATTTCTAGCAGGGGTTAAGTACCATATAAGAGAAGTACAGCCAGTGATATTGTCATGTTGAAATACTACAATTTTGACACAAATTACACATAACACGAAGCTGGTTTTTGAAAATTGTAAGTCGTGTATCTGCCCCATTTCTTCTTTATGACTTGCACAATACACCAGTCTTCCTAAATAACACATTTATAGCAGGGGTTAAGTACCATACAAGAGAGCTACATTGTACATCTAGTCATACTGTCATAAACAGCCAGCATTTTTCCTGCAGCAGTCACACCACCATCGTCATTATTTCCAGGGAAATCCTCTTACATTGTCAGCTCCTATGTCGTTAGATACAATGTAGGGGGCTGTAGGACCGGCTCGTCAAAAATAGAGAACCTGAACACTTGAAGCGTGCTCGGGACGTCTCAGCAATCGTAGTATGCCTGAGCACTCCAATAAAAACTTGATCAATGGCAAAATCGTTCCCCACAGAAAAATCATACTTTGCGGCTCTTGCGTTGCACGCTTGGAGGTGAAGTACAGAAGGCGAGTCGATCCGAGTACTTGACCTTTCGGACTGGACTGGACTGAACTATCCCAAAAATAACAACGAGGGGTCACGGGTGCGAGTCAACCCCTGTGACACGGATTTCTGTGCCGTGTCACCTCCCTAGTTTGAGTACGACTCCCTGATTATAATCGAATAATCGATCGTTATGATAAAGAGTAGGGCTGAACGTTGGCACTTAGGTCCCGAGTTCGAGTACTCTGATTTTCTCCGATCGAATATTCGAGTATTCGAGTATTCTTCATCTCCTAAAAATTGCACACCAGGGGCCTTAAAATCACATGATACAACCCTGATTGAACCGAGTAGCAGTCATTTTTCTCGGGTATATTAGTTGGGGGTCATTTGGGCTCTCTCTACTCGTGAACAAATGTTCACCACACGGTCTACACATCAATATCTGCCGACTGCTGCTCTGAAACTGCAGATTTCTGTAGTAAATGCATGTACCATGTATGAACGAGTACTCTGATTAATTCCGAGTACGATTATTTTTGAAAATTCCGAGCGAGTACTCGAGTATTCGGTATAATTGTTTCAGCCCTAATAAAGAGTAATCGATTGGACTAAGGCCTCATTTACACGACAACGATTGAAAAACGTTTTCAATCGTTTTCGAAACGTTTTTGCTGTTTACACGAAAACGATAATCGTGTACACTGCAACACTTTTTTCGGCGCGCAATGGTCACGTGCAAAAAGTTGGCCTGGCGCAGGCTGGCGGCGGCATGTTTTGAGTACAAGGCTCGTACTAGTAAAACGTTTTTGCCGTTTACACGAGAACGAAACGGAACGAAAACGATTGAAAAACACTTTGAGGCCGTTTTTCGTTTGAAACGTTTTTGAAACGTTTTTCAGCGTTGTCGTGTAAACGCTCTTATCAAAATCTGTGGAAGCGTATTCTTTTGAAAACGTTTTTGACAAAAACGTTTTTCAATCGTTGTCGTGTAAACGAGGCCTAAATGTATCTACTTTAGTCCCAAACTATGCATGGACGAAATTACAAAACGAGAGAGCTTGGAAGCTCAGGGCCCTGCGCTATGCTTTGTTGCCTAGCTCATCGTGCATGTTGTTAGAACTGATGGAAATGCTTTTTTCCTTTGATTAGCTACATTGTATTGCAAAAACGTTTCAATGAGATACTGAAGTAACGTCTTCTGCATAGCTATGGGACCGGCGCTGACTCTGCCGATCACGGGCGTTCTGGAGTCAACGGGATGTCTGTCCTGACGTTTCCTGGGACCGTCGCTGACTCTGCCGATCACAGGCGTTCTTCTTCTTCTCATTATTATACTGACGGCAACTAACATCCATTCTGATTGCATTTACTCGTCTCCCTACTTCGTATTTCTTTGCAGAAAATCTCCCCATACAGCAGGGAGACGTTTACATAATATGACTCCCTGCTATACATCTACATGACTGTATATACGTTATAATTATTATGCTATCGGCTTACATGCGATTCCCGGGCTGGTCGACAGGCGGCCCAGCCAGCCTGCTAGTGGGATCTCGGCCTCGCACACATATCCACACAAAATGTTACTGCACTGAATGCATTCCCCCGATACACTTCGCATATATACTCATTCTCTTGATGGTACCATACTCTTGATGGTACGGGACAGGTACAGGATAGCGCCAGGCATGTCGATGGCACAAACAAACAAACAAATTGTGGCCAGCTGTCTTTACTGGTACGGTACAGTGCGGGACAGATACGGGATAGCGCCAGGCGTGACACAAACAAACAAACAAACAAACACACACACAAATACCAAATTAAAGCTGTGTGGACCCTGGCTAGCGCCAGACGTTACTGAAGTAACGTCTTCTGCATAGCTACGGGAATAAATCCAAACTATGCATGGACGAAATTACAAAATACATCCCCAAGGAGAATGTGTCCACCGGTGCAACACATGCGACAGCGACATACCTGCCGTTGTAATGCTTTGACTTTGGTGCGCGACTCTTTTAGCCTTTCCTTCAGCTGACGGACTTCTTGCTGCAGCGTCGAAACAGACACCAACACCACAACAGGGCGGAGGGAGACGAACAAGAACACAGAGTTTAGCAAAAGCGCATTTTCTTATACAACGTATGTATGAACATCGGCCGTAACTGTATCGCGCTGTACTTGATTGCGCTGTACTTGATCGCGCTGTAGTTGACCGCGCTGTACTTGATCACGCTGAACTTCTTCACGCTGTAAATCACCGCGCATTGCTTTCTCGCGCTGAGTTGCTGGCGCTGTACTTTACCGGTCTGATAGTCATGGCGCTGAAGAAGCTGACGCTGTGAAATCATGCGCTGAAGTGCTGGCGCTGTGAAATCATGCGCTAAAGTGCTGGCGCTGAAATGTATCGCGCTGAAATGGTGGCGCTGAAGTGGCAAGTCACCTTTACTGGGAACCCTAGATGAGATGAGAAACCTATCGCCACGGCAACAATCAACACGTCTTCTTACCTTCTCACCGGCCACACCTGCAGCACTTGCACCTCCACGATCTACATCTTTAGTGGTCTGTAGCCAGGGGCAAGATGACAGACAAGCAGCATCACACACACGCACACACATGCACGCACACACATGCACACACACACACACATACACACACATGCGTGCACGCGCACACAAACACACACACACACACACACACACACACACACACACACATACACACACATGCGTGCACGCGCACACAAACACACACAACTTGTACCAAGAGTACATGAAACCCAGAGCGTGCAGCTTCTGACCTTTTCTGCGTGGGTGTCTGTCACGGTGAAATTCCGCGATTACCGGGTACATATTTTGGTGCAACTCTGAGGCAGGAAGTGGCGTAGTGCGTCCGACTGAGCTGCAGTTGTGCAGAAAGAGACGTGCTTGAACCCTGCTTGCACGCATAACATCACTAAAATGATGTAATCCCGGAATTTCGCCATTGCCAGCAACCCTTCAGAGCTGTAATCTTGCCTATGCAAAGGCAGCAAGGATCAAGAAACGAGTCGCACCTCTCTTGACCAATGCCATCTTCAGACAAATATATATTAAGGCTATGTAGAGTAGGAAAGGCATGGACATCACAATGCAACATGACACCTTTTTCGAACGAATGTCATGTTGAGTGGTGATGTCTGCGGCTGTCACGCTCATCACACTTTATATCCTTTTCTCAAACAAACACAGCAGCCACCAAACACACCCTCCAAACACAGCAGCCACCAACACACACTCTCCAAACACAGCAGCCACCAAACACACCCTCCAAACACAGCAGCCATCAAACACACCCTCCAAACACAGCAGCCAGCAACACACACCCTCCAAACACAGCAGCCACCAAACACACACCCTCCAAACACAGCAGCCACCAAACACACACCCTCCAAACACAGCAGCCACCAAACACACACCCTCCAAACACAGCAGCCACCAAACACACACCCTCTAAACACAGCAGCCACCAAACACACACCCTCCCAACACAGCAGCCACCAAACACACACCCTTTAAACACAGCAGCCACCAAACACACACCCTCCCAACACAGCAGCCACCAAACACACACCCTCCCAACACAGCAGCCACCAAACACACACCCTCCAAACACCGCAGCCACCAAACACACACCCTCTAAACACAGCAGCCACCAAACACACACCCTCCCAACACAGCAGCCACCAAACACACCCTCCAAACACAGCAGCCACCAAACACACCCTCCAAACACAGCAGCCACCAAACACACACCCTCCCAACACAGCAGCCACCAAGCACACACCCTCCAAACACAGCAGCCACCAAACACACCCTCCAAACACAGCAGCCACCAAACACACACCCTCCAAACACAGCAGCCACCAAACACACACCCTCCCAATACAGCAGCCACCAAACACACACCCTCCAAACACAGCAGCCACCAAACACACCCTCTAAACACAGCAGCCACCAAACACACACCCTCCAAACACAGCAGCCACCAAACACACACCCTCCAAACACAGCAGCCAGCAACACACACCCTCCAAACACAGCACCCAGCAACACACACCCTCCAAACACAGCAGCCACCAAACACACCCTCCCAACACAGCAGCCACCAACACACCCTCCCAACACAGCAGCCACCAACACACCCTCCCAACACACCCTCCCAACACACCCTCCCAACACACCCTCCCAACACACCCTGCCAACACAGCAGCCACCAACACACCCTGTCATTCACACCAACAACTACAGCAAAACCTACAGTAGATGCCAATTCCGACCGAGCGCGTACGTGAGCAAACCGTATTGTGGGGGCGCTCTATCGAGATTCCATGCTCTGTTGGGATTACAAGCTCTGTTGGGATTACACGCTCTGTTGGGATTACACGCTCTGTTGGGATTACACGCTCTGTTGGGATTACACGCTCTGTTGGGATTACACGCTCTGTTGGGATTACACGCTCTGTTGGGATTACACGCTCTGTTGGGATTACACGCTCTGTTGGGATTACACGCTCTGTCGAGATTTCCCGCTCTTCTGGGACTGCCCGCTCTGTTGGGACGTCCGGCTACGTCGAGATTTCTTTGCCGGCAGCAGAGCATCTCACATTGGCTGCTTTACTGCTGCAATGCGCTGGCAACAGTAAGCCCATTGTGCAATGACGCACACGTTATTGTACCGCCAGCACCCCACAGAGTCACCTGGGTGTGTTTAGTGGTGGGGGTGTTGAACAGTGCATTGCTGATCCCAGGGTACTCACATAACACCCCACACAGGCACCTGGGAATGGTTATGTGGGGTGTTGGACAGTGCCTTGCTGATCCCAGCGTACTCACATGCATTACTCATACATTCCATATTTGGCAATGCGCAACAGGCTTATTGAAACGCGCACATGGAACCCTTGCATGTGCATTGGCAGTGGCGGGGGACTAACCGCTTTTCCGGCGGCATCCGACACCTCTTCAGAAACGCCACGCTTCAGCAACGTCGGTAGCAGTGTGGACAGGTGTGAAGAAGTTGTCTGCGTCGGAGTAGCAGCGGCATTGGACGATGAGGTTGGCGTGGCAGCAGAGCTCGCCGCGGATGTGCTGCTAGCCTGCTGAAGCGAGACAATGCAAAGAGGACAGCCTTTAGCTTAGAACTCGGTCGGGGGATCAGCGCGCGGACATACGCATATGTCATGCATGGTGCATGGTGGGTGACTGTAACTTCTCGAACGAGTCGCCTACTCAAACGGTCTATAGAAAGTATAAATTCTTACTCAATTGATGTGTGTATGTGTGTGTGTGTGTGTGTATGTGTGTGTGTGTGTGTGTGTGTGCGCGTGTGGTGTGCGCGTGTGGTGTGGTGTGTGTGTGTGTGTGTGTGTGTGTGTGTGTGTGTGTGTGTGTGTGTGTGTGTGTGTGTGTGTGTGTGTGTGTGTGTGTGTGTGTGTGTGTTGGGTCTGTTGCCAACGGGCTCGGCTGCTTGAAGGTGTATTTTTGTACCTACCACCTTTGTTGGTTTCAGGGTTCATATACTTTCTATTTGAAGTATACATACCTGTTAACCATGGACTGCTTCTGGCTAGATTAACTCTTGTGTAATCAATGGTGCTAATGAAGCTTATATCAGATCCACTCTGATTTAGCCACCCACACTAGTAGCAAGTATTACCTTCACTGGGGGCAGGGGTGACTGCAGTTGGATCCCGGGACGGATACCCTGATGCCGTCAATCCTTTTTCTGCACCTTGTCCTCACCCACTTACTGAGGTGTGGTGAGCCCATAAGTGGGATCATTTCAAGTCCACCCTAGTTTGGGGATTTCAGGGGGTGTCGGCCGTTGGGTGGTTCAATAGCCAATTGAGTCATCTTTCCAAGATTCCTTTTGAGTCTCTCTCCCCTCTCCCGGGGAGACCCACGTGACCAGTTTTGGCATTGAGCAAGTACAAGTACAAGTGTGTGTGTGTGTGTGTGTGTGTGTGTGTGTGTGTGTGTGTGTATGTGTGTGTGTGTGTGTGTGTGTGTGTGTATGTGTGTGTGTGTGCGTGCATGCGTGTGTGTGTGTGTGTGTGTGTGTGTGTGTGTGTGTGTGTGTGTGTGTGGTCGTATGGAAGTGCATCCATGACCTCCAGTCTTGTACCCGGGGCCTCGCCCCTGTGCGCACTTCCGCCGTGCTGGATGAGAACGGTAACATCTGTAGTTCACCAGAGGAGCAGAGCCACCGGTGGGGAAGACACTTTGACGGTGTTCTCAACGTGGCAAGTGCATGGAATCGCAATGCCCTGGACGACATCCCACAGCGACAGGAGGCTGATCATCTTGCTGAGGCGCCGACTCTCCGTGAAGTCAGCCGCGCTATCTCCCGCCTACAGAACGGCAAGTCCGCTGGAGCCTCTGGCATCCTCCCTGAGATGCTGAAGAGGGGTGGCCCTGACCTCACCGCCAAGCTTGTGGAGCTGTTTGGCGATGTGTGGCGTGCTGGGGTGGTCCCGCAGGAGTGGGTGGACGCCACGTTGGTCCCCATCCCAAAGAAAGGGGATTTATCTCGCTGTGATAATTGGCGGGGTATCTCACTGCTGGATGTTGTGGGCAAGGTTCTGGCGAGCGTCATCCAGACTCGTCTCCAGTCCGTGGCTGCAGATTTTCTCCCAGAGTCTCAGTGTGGCTTCAGGCGTGGCCGATCTTGTACAGATATGGTTTTCAGTGTTCGGCAGTTCCTCGAGAAGACCATTGAGCACGACTGCAAAGGCTTCTTTGTATTTATAGACCTCAAGAAAGCCTATGATTCCGTGCCTCGGGATTGCCTGTGGGAAGTCTTATCCCGAGCGGGTATCCCTGCTCCCATGCTTGCCGTGATCCGTTCCTTTCACACTGACATGTCGGCGGTGGTTCGGGTAGAGAACACGACAACTGACCCTATCCGCGTCACGAATGGTCTCCGTCAGGGGTGCACCATGGCACCTGTGCTGTTTAACATCTTCATGTGGGCGGTGGTGACTGTGTGGCAGCGACGAGTCCGAGATGTACCCGGTGTTGGTTTTGAGTTCCGGCATTGTGATGGTGACAATAACCTTTACCGCAAGCCTACCAGGACGGATCCGGTTGCCATTGCCACTGAGTCACAGTTTGCAGACGACTCAGCACTTTTCGCGACGACTCGTGCAGGGGCGGAGACGGCACTTGCAGTGTTTGACACGACCGCAGCTGAGTTTGGGCTTAAAGTTAGCGCTACCAAGACACAGTTCTTGGTTGCAGGTAGGGATGTTTCGCCTGGGGACTGCGCTCCAATCGAGCTAGCTGGCACGGTCATCGAGTGTGTTTCGGAGTTCCGGTATCTGGGATCTCTCATTCATCGCGGTGGCCGGTCGACACAGGACATCACTGCTCGGATTGCGCATGCCTCTCGTGCTTGTGGCGCCTTGCAAGGAACCATCTTCAGCAATCCTGACCTTGATTTGCATATCAAGAGGTGTGTGTTTAATGCATGTGTGCTGTCGCTCCTCCTCTATGGGTCAGAGTGTTGGACACCATTGCAACACGATCTCAGACGTTTGTCAGTCTTTCATATGCGGTGCATCCGTTCCATCCTGGGTGTGTCCCGCAGAGATTGCTGGAATAATCACACGACCAACGCCCAACTGTTGGAGATGTGGGGTGACTCTGATACCATCTGCGTGAAGGTCGCACAGCGTCGCCTAGAGTGGCTGGGCCATGTTGCTCGAATGGACAGTAGCCGGATGCCGAGACAGATCCTGTTTGGCTCACTTCTCACACGTCGCCCAGCACATGGCCCTCGCAAGCGCTGGAAGGATTGCGTTGTCTCCGACTTAAAGAGTTCGTGGCCTCACCAAGGAATGGTACCCTATCGCCTGTGAGTCCCGTGCTGACTGGCGGACTATGTACGCCGAGCCTGTGGAGAATGTGCCTCAGCCTGACCCAGTGGTATGTGCGGATTGCAATCGGTCATTCTCGCGCCCTGGAGATCGTGCTCGCCACAAATGTGTGGTTGAGCGGGCAAAGCCGATTGCTGAGCAGCGAGGGGCTTGCCACTGTGGAGATTGTGGGCGTTGGTTTCGCAGCAAGGGTGGTCTAGCTGTTCACCGCTGTTCCGCGCCTCAGCCTCCCGAGCCCCGGCAAGTCTATGTGCAAGATGCCTGCTGTGCTGCGCACTGTGCTGTGTGTGCCCGCTGCTTTCGGTCTGTGCAAGGCCGCGGTCGTCACCGGTGCTCGAGGACTGGCCCGCGCCCGACTGCCCAGCAGCGTAATTCGTTCAGCCATGTATGCGTGTGTTCTCGCCGGTTCCGTTTGCCCCACCATCTCCGGCGTCATCAGGCTGCGTGCTCCATCTTCCTCTCTGATGCCCCTCCGGGGCCCACGTGACCCCTGTGGCAGTGGCTCTACAGGACAGGACAGGACAGGTGTGTGTGTGTGTGTGTGTGTGTGTGTGTGTGTGTGTGTGTGTGTGTGTGTGTGTGCGTGTGTGCGTGGATGTCGGTGGGGAGGAGTAATCAGTCGAGCATACGTAAGCCTGTTGCGTACAACATGATGCGAGTGGTCGACACATCATCATCTCAGTCCGACACCATCTCACATCATCATCTCAGTCCGACACCATCTCACATCATCATCTCAGTCCGACACCATCTCACATCATCATCTCAGTCCGACACCATCTCACATCATCATCTCAGTCCGACACCACCTCACATCATCATCTCAGTCCGACACCATCTCACATCATCATCTCAGTCCGACACCATCTCACATCATCATCTCAGTCCGACACCATCTCACATCATCATCTCAGTCCGACACCATCTCACATCATCATCTCAGTCCGACACCATCTCACATCATCATCTCAGTCCGACACCATCTCACATCATCATCTCAGTCCGACACCATCTCACATCATCATCTCAGTCCGACACCATCTCACATCATCATCTCAGTCCGACACCATCTCACATCATCATCTCAGTCCGACACCATCTCACATCATCATCTCAGTCCGACACCATCTCACATCATCATCTCAGTCCGACACCATCTCACATCATCATCTCAGTCCGACACCATCTCACATCATCATCTCAGTCCGACACCATCTCACATCATCATCTCAGTCCGACAACATCTCACATCATCATCTCAGTCCGACACCATCTCTTTCCCACACACTCAGTGGATCCTGTGAACACTAGACGATACATACTTGCTCCTACAAACATACAGTAAAACTGGTCAAGGCGACCGCTTTGATAAGGTGGCCACCTATCCCAGGAGACCATTACATGTACTGCTACAAGCAATGGATGTTATTTCTAGTCCAAAGACCCTGAGTACTAGTTTGAAGACCACCTGTACACGAGGACAACGTTAACACGGTGCCATGGAGCGGCCACCATAGACAGGTGTCACTGTACTAGTAAGAAGTGACATAGGACAAACCTGAGATCTCAGGCGCGTGATTTCCACTTCCAGCTGCTGACGCTCTGCCAGCCACATCTCGCGGTTCTGACGAGCCGTCTCATCCGCCGAAACTATCGACACGGATCCACACACGCACACACGTGCACGGACGGGCAAGTACACACATACACACACACACGCACACACACACACGCACACACACAGACACACACACACATGCATGCACACACACAGCCGCACAAGTATCATACCAGTGGATAAACAAACCTCCAGATAGCCTCGTCGCGTGAATCTAGAGACAATATGAAAGGAATTAGCAGATGGACGTCTTGGTGCGGCTGTGGGATGTAAACAAAGTGTGTTCTCGCTGTTACACTTCCACGTTCTTGGGCCACGCTGTCAGCGAAACCTTGCAGGAAGAGCTCTATGGATGCTGTACGTCTCTGGGAATCCATGACCTCCTGCAGGTGTCCATGGATGGCCCTGAGATCAATCAGTAGGTTTCCTAACTCCAAATGGCATTGTGCTGAGAGTATTGTTGCTGTCATTGTTGTAATTGTCAAATTGTTTCTTCTGTTTTGTATATCACATAGGTCACGATGATACTTGTTCTCTGCTATTGTGGTGATCATCTGACTGATGAAAGGATGCAAGATCTTGTCGAGTATATTCTGCACTTCGAGTCAGTTGACGTCAATGAAGAAGATGAGACCTTGGTAAGTTGTTGTGCTTAGGATAGACAGTAGCACATTAAACTCTCCTTATCCGGCTACTTTCATCTACCGAGTACATTTCTGACACATCTCTAGTCACAAATTAGGCTTTTCAACGTTCAAAGGTGGATTCACGAAGGTGAAGTGGGAGGTGGAGCACGTTTTCACCAGCTTGTTTTGGCTCTTCAAGGATTCGCCAGCTCCACGTGAGGACTTTACCAAGCTCACTGGCTCTGCCTTGTTTGCCAAGCGTTTTTGCAGCACCCAGTGGGTAGAGAACGCCCCCGTTGCAGAGCGCCTTCTTGTAATGTGGCCAAGTGTGGTTCAGTATGTGGCTGCTGTGCAATCTCGAAACTTCCTGATCCGAAGAACAAGTCAATTTGCCACCATTGCCAAGTGCTGTGATGATCTGCTGTTCTTGGTCAGGGTCAATGTCTACCTCTCTCTGGCCAAGGACTTTGCCCCATTCCTGACGAAGTTCCAAGAGGATGAGCCTCTGTGCACTTCGAGTCAGTTGACGTCAATGAAGAAGATGAGACCTTCGGAAGTTGTTGTGCTTAGGATAGACAGTAGCACATTAAACTCTCCTTATCCGGCTACTTTCATCTACCGAGTACATTTCTGACACATCTCTAGTCACAAATTTGGCTTTTCAACGTTCAAAGGTGGATTCACAAAGGTGAAGTGGGAGGTGGAGAACGCTTTCAAAAGCTTGCTTTGGCTCTTCAAGGATTCGCCAGCTCAACGTGAGGACTTTACCAAGCCGACTGGCTCTGCCTTGTTTGCCAAGCGTTTTGCACCACCCGGTGGATAGAGAACGCCCCCCGTTGCAGAGCGCCTTCTTGTAATGTGGCCAAGAGTGGCTCAGTATGTGGCTGCTGCGCGATCTCGAAAATGTCCTGATCCGAAGAACGAGTCAATTTGCCACCATTGCGGAGTGCTGTGATGATCCGCTGTTCTTGGTCAGGGTCAATGTCTACCTCTCCCTGGCCAAGGGCTTGGTCCCATTCCTGACGAAATTCCAAGCGGATGAGCCTCTGTTGCCATTTCTCTGTACCGACCTGGCCGGCTTGTTCGGATCACTGATGGATCGTATTTTGAAGCCGGCTGTTTCCTCATCGCTCTCATCCAGTGCCAGAAAATTGCTGAAGCTGGACTTTTGGACGGCTTGAGCAACTTTGTAGATTCCTCAACTATCAACATCGGCTTTACTGTAGACCGTCTCCTGGCTGACCTGAAGCGGAAGTCTAGAAGAAGAAGGTTAGCAGCTTGGATGTTCTGTCAGTGCGCAAGGACACCCAAGTTTTAATTGTGGCTGCCATGCTGCTTGAGCGTAAGCTGCTTGAGCGCTTGCCGCTGTGTTACTCACTAGTACGTAACCTGGCCTGGATACAGCCGTTGCGGGCTGTTTCAGAGTCCGACGCGTGCATCAAGGAGCTGAAGAGGTGCAGCTACTTGAACAGGCTGGGCATGGTCTCCTGTCATCCTGTGACAACATCTTGAAAGAGTTTGGTGATTTTGCTCGATACGCGGCAATCAATGATGATTTCCGGACCTTCCAGGTTGGCCAGTCTCGTCTGGACACCTTGTACTACAATGCTCTGCAGGACAACCGATGGCCCAGCCTGTGGACTCTCCTGCAAAATCTTCTCCTGTTGTCGCATGGCCAGGCAGCGGTCGAGCGTGGGTTCTCAATCAACAGCGAGACTCTGACTGACAGCATGTCAGAGAACACTCTCATTGCGTTGAGGACCATCAAGGACCACCTGCTGTCCATCGGTGGCCGGGCAGAGTGTTTGCCGATCACCCCAGAGCTTCTAACATCGGCGGCGGCAGCAGTATCAAACTCAAAATCCCGGCTGTTGACCCACGCATTGCGCTCTGAGCACAAATTTCCCGGGACCAACATTACAAGTGCTATAACTCAAGAACCGCTCTTTTTATCACTTTGAAAATTGTTCGAGGCGACAGCTGAGAGCTTTCTCTTCGACCTACATATTTCGATTTCTCCAAAAGACCGAAATTTGGCCAAGTTATGATAACTTCAAAATACCTATCCCATCGAACATCGATGTTCCATCAAAGTATGGGCCAGCCAATAAAGGGTTAATTAGAACATACTGCTTAGTTAGAAGTTTCTTCTGGGACCGATTTCTGTCAATACGATTTCCACATAACAGTTTCTGATAATTAGAACCTCGAACTGGGTATGTCCGGTTAATTAGAAGTCCCACGGAATCCACTTATAGAGAAAATATGTGGGATTTGCGCTGATAATTCGAAGTGAGCAAGCCATAATTAGAACTTCGCTTTATTTTCTGCAAATCAGTTCGATATGCATGCGCAGGCAGCTCAGTGTCCACTACATCTGCATCTAAGGTGCGTAGTGAAATTCTGCGTGTCAATGCGAGCATTTTGACATACATAAAGTGTTGTGGGCAGTTTGGATGATTATAGTCTGTTTCAAAAAGATTTACAATCAGGTTTGGGTCTTAAAAAGTATGAAGATAAGGGAAATTTGGACAACAAAGTACATAGAATGGCTTGTTAGGACACGGCAAATTGTTCTGTGAAGGTTTCGGAACAATTGGACCAACCGTTAAGGAGTTAGAATTTCGGCCAGGTTTCCGGCCTTTTCCCATGGTTTACAATTATTATATTATTTGCCCAGGAAGCCAGTATCGATTTTTTTTATCAAAACCCACGATTTATCCTTTCCTTTTTGGCCTTGTGGTTATGAATGTTGTCTGCTGACCATGAAGTTGTGAGTTCAAATCCCAACCTATCCTCAAGTCAAACTTGTTTTCATTGTTTTGGTGATCAAGCTGGTACAAGACAAAGAAGATGGCTGCACCAAACGAATTGTTGTTGGAGCTCGCGCTTCCTGCCGAACTGACTGACACTTGACTGGCTGACGCCATGTGAACACACCCACAACACTGCAATGGTGTGAGTGAATTATGGAAGTCATCGCGCTGTAGCTTTTTGAGATTTATTTTAGTATTTCAAGATCGCGAATTTATTTGAATTTAGCAGTCAACGCCGTCTTCTATCAGCGTTCACAAGCGTCTTCTATCAGCGTTCACAAGCATCTGCTTTTCTCAAAATGTCGTCGAAGTCACACGGATAGCTTTGCCAAGTCATGGCTTTGGGAATGAGTCGGACTGTCCGTGTCGATGTCGTTTTCATCACACGGTCAGTAAATTGCATCGCAGCTCAAAGAAACTATTTTGGTCACAAAACGAATTGGGACCCATGCCGCTCGTCAACATTTACAACACTTTCGTTTCGACATGTCCTCTCTGACTCCATTATCGATACGAGAAAGAACTTGTTTGTTGTAAACCAAACGTACATGACTGTATCAACGTGAGTGAGTTGTCATTTTTCCTGCTTTCGCGCGGAATATTTCTTCGAGTTCACAGTGAGTTTTTCCAGGCAGCGATCGAGTGCTCATACGGTAAGACGCCAAACTCCGCGGGCGATCGCCAGGATTGCAAATCTTTTTGAAACGGACTGTAGAAGTATTTCCCCGGCATTTTTGATATTCGAATTATCAGGATTCCACCTGTATCATACACAAATCAATTTGCGAATCACAACGTGATATCAAAATGCAACCTGAGAACAGATAAATTAATTAAAATTATTGATTTAGGTGAAAATTGCGGAAAAAATTAAACATGGCTGCTAAAGGGTACCCGTTAACCCTTTACCTTCTGACCATAATTCCCAGGCAGCTCCAAATACGATATTTCTCACCTCATTCTAAGAATATCTTTGGTTATAATCAACCGATTTTCACACTCTTGGGCATTCTGGAAAGCTCTTCACGAGCTGCGTACAATGAGCTCAAACTGGACACTACTGAGATCACATATCCAACGCCAGGGTGCTTCAAATACTCCCCATCGCTGGGTATCCGAGAAAATTCTCTCCTCGTCAGCCATTTCTCACTCCTTCATCGTAAACATTTCAAATTTGATGTCCTGGGTTTCTTTTTATGCTGCCCACGCGCTCAAAACATGCACAGGTGACTCAGCATGTCAGGAGAGGGAAAATCCCCAGCTCAAGGCCAGTCACTCAGAAAAAAATCGACTTTTGCCGTGACTGAAATGTCGAGCGCGATATCTTTGGAATGCGGCATCGCAGCTCTTCGCCGATTGTTGCAATGAACAGCTGGGCTCTTCGGCTTCTTCCTATATATTTAGTTCTTGAGATTCCGTCAAGAATTGATCAAGTTACGAATGTTTTAGTGCATGCATGTCCATCGACCAAATTCGGTCGATTCATGTACACACAGAAGGTAAAGGGTTAACCCGCCCGTTAAGAAATTACCCGTTCGTTAGTTAAAGGTACACCCGTTTTACCCAAACAAGCAGGTTGTCAGTCTAGATTGTATGCGCAGATGGAGAAAAAGCGCAGAATTTTTGTAATGAGATGAAAAGCAGAAATAATAAGAAATAATAAGAAAAGATGGAAGAGAGAGGGAGAGAGAGAGAGAGAGAGAGAGAGAGAGAGAGAGAGAGAGAGAGAGAGAGAGAGAGAGAGAGAGAGAGTAAGTTACATTTATAAAGACAGGTAAGTCTAACAAATGAGGACTGAGACCTCTACAACAGGGTTTTTACGCCTGAAAGCAGGTGCATGATTTAACAAGCAGGTTGTCAGTCTAGATTTTATGCGCAGATGGAGAAAAAGCGCAGAATTTTTGTAATGAGATGAAAAGCAGAAATAATAAGAAATAATAAGAAAAGATTAAATGAAAGCCTGCTCACAACCCCGCCCAGCCTTGCGAACTGGGTATGGTGGATTAAGAACCCGGTTCAACGCTCGAGCAAGCGCTCTCCACTCAAGGTGTTCACAGCAACTGATAGGAACTCATATGGGGAAATTATAGAAAAGAAATAATAAGATAAAGAGAATAAATTTCAACGCACCTCAATAAACGGAGCCCCACATACAGTACCTCAGAAAAGTGGATCTTCCGACCAGTGTTTTTGTTGACGCCGCAACCAGATGATGTAGCTGCTTCGCAGAGACGTCTTACTGCACAAATTACAAATAAATTTTATTCTTCGATTAGAAAATCCAAGCGCTTTCAGAGCCCTCCGAAGAGAGTCCGGGATGAAACCACGCACACCTACCTCAACCGAAAAAGAAACGACCTGCCACCCGTTTGCTCGGCATTGATCGGCCAGATCCGCATACCGCCTGTCCTTCCGCGAGTTACTGACACTGAATCTGTCCTCAGCACAAACTGTCAACTCCATCCAGAATACAATCCTACGACTCGTAGAGTACAGAACTATATCTGGTCTTAGGGTGGTAAGTGCAACACAGCTAGGGAAAGAAATCTTTGCACTAACTGAGTCGACAAGAAGTTTCCAGTCTGAGGCCGCTGACAGGAGATCAGTCGTAACCAACTTTCGTCTGGGCTGAACGCGAACTGGCTTCTCTCCCGCCTTGCAAAACGAGATGAAGTCAAGCTCATTTGAATTTTCGGTTTGTACGGTGTTTGCAGCAGTGCGGATTCGAATCTCCTCACGCATGTTCCTGACGATGACCCCGAGTACGTTGTCGTGCCTCCAGGTGTAACGTCCCTGGTCCAGCGCTACGCGACAAGCGCCAAGCACGTGGCGCGTAGTACAGGCCCAGGTACGGCACAAACTACAGTACGGATCCACTACGGTGTTTCCCCAACGGCGTAGGTTCGTCGGAGAAGGTAGCACGTCGAGGGTTGATGCGAGAAGAAATTTCAAATCCTTACCAGTACCACCGTACAA